TTGCCCTGCAAGGAACTATTCACAATTTAAGCCAAATAAAGGGATGGGACAGCACACGCTGTATCCATCTTTCCTTGCTTTTCCCCCGGAGTGATGCTGGTCTGAGCGTCCCCGTTTACAGGCTCAGCCCAAGCATCCTCAGCCCTGCTGCAGGGGCGGCGGAGCCAGAGCCGAGCCAGAACAACCCGTGACCAAGCTCTTGCATTGCTGGGTTATTTTAAACATTCCTCCTCTCGCTGTCGCTGGCTGCAAGGAGAGGTCGCAGCCTGCCAGGGCCAGCTCCAGAGGCCGTGTGCCCGCGGTGCCCACAGCGATCCCGCTGCAGCTCCGGAGGCAGGAAGCAGCAGGAAGCAGGGTGAGGTCCTCAGCAGTCCTGCGTTCATCCCGCCGAGGCTGGTGGTGAGCCTGGGGCTTGTGTCCCAGCTGAGCCGCTTTGCCATGCGGGCTTAAGCCAAGGGCTGGCTCACTGCGATCCCAACCACTATGGAGTGGAGATAATGAGCCGTAATGGTTTTGTAATGTGGTGGTAGAATTAATGTTCAGATGGCACTTGGAAGTGTTAACTGCTGCTGGTAGGTGAGCTCCCGCCGAGGCTGGTGGTGAGCCTGGGGCTTGTGTCCCAGCTGAGCCGCTTTGCCATGCGGGCTTAAGCCAAGGGCTGGCTCACTGCGATCCCAACCACTATGGAGTGGAGATAATGAGCCGTAATGGTTTTGTAATGTGGTGGTAGAATTAATGTTCAGATGGCACTTGGAAGTGTTAACTGCTGCTGGTAGGTGAGCTGTGTGTCTCCTGGGCAGGCTGGGGGAGAGCAGAGGTGCCTGGTGGAGCAACAGCATCCCAACCCTGCTTGTCGTGGCATAGAAGGCTCCTGCGTGGACATCCTCATCCAGCAGCTGGGTCAGCCCAGCTCCGAGGGGTCCTGCAGCACCGAGGTCCCTCACAGGGCAGGGGTGAGCCTTTCCAGGACACCACCAGGCATGTCCTCCTGTCTTTCCACAGTGTGGCTGGCCAAAGCTGAGAGTGGACGTGGCTTGTCGACCGAGGCAGTACTGGTGCTTTGCAGCGGCTTCCCTGGACATGTCCCAGTGCTCAGCTGCCTGCAGGTAACAGCAGTGCGTGGCCTTGTCCGTGCTGTGCACCTCGGGGACCGCACGCAGCCTCCAGTGGGGACGTCTTGCATCGCTGCCTTTCCAGTGCGCGCACCTGGGGACAAAGCTTGGCCAGCCTGGTCTGACCAGCCTCCTCCTGACACTGGTGCTGAGCTGCAGGACATGCTCCTGCCTGTCATGCGTGCTATCAGTTTCAGTGCAGCAGAACAAAATAAGGCCCAGCTCTGGGCTCGTTCCTCCCACCTTTAAACCCTGCCCCAGGCTGCAGGAGCCTCATAGCATCTGAGAGCTACACAGAAGTTAACACTTTCCCAGGAAGTTTTGGTGTGGGAAGGATTTGCACTGATTCTTCTCTTTTTAGAGAAGCTGCACCATCAGGACAGTGCTCATCAGGGCTGGTGGTTTGTGTCCATCACTGCTGCTGCTGGCACCTCCTGATGAACAGAGGGATTGCTGTGGTTATGGGCTCTCTTGCATCAGCAGAAATGATCCAAGTTGGTGTTTCCAAGCAGAGGAGCAAATGAAGGGGTGGCTGTGAGTTGTGTGGTTGGTTGCAGTAATGGCAAGAATTAACCTCATTTTCTGTTCCATAATCGTAGATGGAGGGTGCAGGAGTGGCTGGATCCTGCTGCAATGGTAGAAGCAGCTCCTCAAAATCCACTTTGGGGTTTCTTCTAATCTGCATCATCCCATGTAAAACAGGGAAAATGCAAGATGAAATCAGTGGAGAGAAAGTGGTTTGAAGCTGGGTGACTAAGATGTGCTGCACGTGTTGGTATGTCTTCAGATGATGGCTGCTCCGAGCTGGCATCTCCTCCATCCTGAGAGAGCTTCCAACTGCCATGGAGCCTTACTCATGTCTCACCAAAAAGTGGAGGCCACCTGAGCTTTGAGCATGGAAGAGGCTATTATCCAGGTGGGAGCTTGAGATGCTTCACTGCAATAGCTAGGACCTGAATTGGCACTGGGGATGGGCTGGCAGGGCTTGCTGGTTCATCAACATGTTCCCTAACTTGGTCCTGTTGTTTCCTAACAAGCCCAAGATGAATCTTCAGGGTTTCAGTGGATCTATAGAATGGATGGAAAAATCATCCCAAAAAGCACAGGAATCCAGGGGCTTTTCTAGTTCTGGTTTTGATTAAAGCTTCTGAATTGTATTGAGGAAATAAAATTAAGCCAGGGATCACTGGGGATCTGTGGCTATGCTGCGTTTCAGCCACAGCTTCCCGAGCTTTTGCTGCTGAGCGGGTCTAGCAGAACTGAGCCTGGAGTCTCTGCCTGGCCTTTGTGCTCATTTTGCATCAGCAAAACTGATCTCGGGAGCTGGCAACCAGGGAGTGCCCTGACCCTCTTACTCAGGTACCGGCTTTGCCAGGCCTGTGTGGGACGGGGGTGATGTGTCAGGTGCCCTTCCTCCCCCAGGTCTGAGCCACAAAGCTCTAATCGCCCCCATTAACCACCCTGCTGCTGAGCCAGTGTTGCCTGCGCCCTCCCTGTTTCCAAGCTGGTGGTGCTGTCCCCAGCCATCCCTCCCACCTTCCCACCCACCCAGTGCTGGGGAACCCAGCGCTGGGGCAGAGCCACCCTCCAACCCCATCCCAGCGGTAGCCGGGGGGTGAAAGTCCCTTCTCCATCACTGCAGGGAGCAGAAGCATGTGTTGGCACTTGGGGAGGAGGAAGGGCAAAGGATGGGGTTTCGCTGCGTCAGAGGACAGTTTGCCTGGTAATCCAGAAACTGCTTCTTCAATGTGCAGTATCTGGGTGACCAGGGAAGAGAAAAGGCAGAGCTTGCTCAGAGCAAGCAAGGACATGCTTGGTTGTAATGTGGGCACGGCTCTGCTGCTCAGCCCCACTCCCCTGACGCACACAAAAGAGCTGCTTGCTCTCTCCACCTCTGTGGTTTACACGAGAGGTTTGCACCAGCTGTGGTTTTGGTACAGGGAAACCTAATATAAACCTCCCATGGGAGCTGGATTTCAAACACCCGCTGCAGCAGCGGGGGAGCTAATCCTCCACACCCCAACCTGTGCTGAACACAATGCAGGACCGTGAGCAGGGAGACTGTGTGTGCTCCTGCTCGCCCCACTGCTGCCAGAAATGCAGAAACATAAGTGTGCAGAAATAAACACAGAAATAAGAGAGCTAAGAAAGGAAATGAGAGATCTTATTCTCTTTTATAGTATCTCTCATTTCTTATTGCACTTATCACTTCTGTGCCACTTAATCAAGCAACTTGGACATTACTGATATGAGAACATCAGCCCTATTAAATAACCTGCCTGTCCCCTCCATAATAGGGTCTGTGTTAATACCCCATGATGATGAGCGTGATCCCTGCATCTTTCTGGATGTCAAGCAGGGTGCCAGAGTGACTGGCTGGGAAAGCTGAAGCCTGGCTGAAATCACCATGCCAGTGGATGGAGGATGTCAAACTCCCAGTGCCCTTCATCTGCTGAGAGGAGGAGGAAGATGCAGGAGAAGCACAAGGTGATGGGTGAAGTGAAGCTTTGGCTGGACCAGGAAAGGTGTGTGGATGGGATTTGCAGGAGATGGCTCTTTTAGGAAGCTGCTGGGAAGAGCTGTGGATTCCTCCGGGCTGTGGAGCGGAGCTGGTGACAGGGTAAGGCAAAGGGCAGCCAGAGCCTGAAACCAGGCAGGAGGGGATGGCTGGAGCATGGAGCCGAATGAGGAGGGTGGGATTTGGCTGTAGCCCAGCTGGGAAGGGCAGGAGCAAATGCGCCTGGGGCACGGCCCTTGTGAGGCAGTGGGGGGAATGCAGAGCTCTTTTGCTAACAGATAAGCTTTTGTTTAAAAGATGAATAAATAATAATAATAACAACTGCCTGGAAAACCTGGCTTTGCCATTGCTGGAGAGCTCTAACCTTTTCTGCTGAGGAAGGAAGAACTGATGTCACTTGTGAAAAGCTGCACTGGGCAGAAGGGTTATTTCTCTCCAACGCTGCCTTGAATAGCCACAGCATTGTCTGTCTGGCACGAAGGACCTAAGATTATTCCCATGAGGACTGGGGGGGTTTCTCCCAGCTGCTGCACTGTGGCAAACACCACTTCCTTCGTGCACCACATCTGACCTCAGGTGATGTGCTGTTTCAGAGGGGTTTTTCTTTGGGTTTAGGGGGTTTTCTTAGGGTTTT